GCACGCACGCACGCACGCACACACACACACACACACACACACAAGAAGCATACCACTCACGCTTCCCCGACATGTTTTCTTTAGCAACAGCCAAGATAACGCAAGAGAGCGACGCAAACACCACACAACTACGACATTAGCGGTAGAGTCACGTATGCCATTTGAAAGTTCAACGCCAGATAATGGGGCCACGCGAGAGCCACACGTGGAGGCAAATAACCGTGTGAAAAAATGAGCCATAAAATAGTCCTGACTTTGTCAGCTGAAAAGAACTATTGCACGCTGGGGACGTCACCGCTCATGCCGTCGATAGGCAGCGTAAGCAGCATTACACAATTCAACCATGTCGGAAAATTGCACCTCTTTTATATATTGCGAGGATGCCAATATATGTCAGTTATGTACGAAGCTTACAGAAAGCAACGACTACGCATAATGCACAAAATCCTAAAAGTTATATATATATTTTGGGTTCTACCAAATTCGATATATTCAATTCCATTTTTATACTCAATGCCGTCATTCCAAAAATCCTACCGCTTTTTTGTCGTGAGGATACTGATATGTATCACTTATTTGCGAAAGTGCCATGAAAGCGGCAGCTGCATAACACGAATTTGTTAAAATTGCATGTCATTTGCCATTCATGGTCTGGCTTTTGCAGGCGTTAATATGAACACCGTGGCTAATCGGTAACCCAAGAACAATATCTTAATGACTTTAGGTTCGACAAATTTGGTAACAGAGCACAAATTCACTTGAATCCTTTAGTGATAACCAAATCATGCCTTGAACAACATTGACTGAGAGTCAATTGGCGGCCACTATATCTGGAAATCGTGCCCACGAACGCCAGATATGACTCGACAATGATGTGTTGTTCGGCCTTGATTGCCGAGTGGCCAGTGGAATGGCAGGATTTGGATGACGTTATTATGACATCATGGATGCCTGGGTGAGCTCGAAATAGTCTGGGCATCTTCGCGGGCGTATGGCTCAAAAACTGGAGGAGTTTAGGTCATACGAAGGGTAGGGCTGTGAACTGCACCAGCTGATCTTAAAGATGGCCATTTCAGTTCAAAGCCCCATACCAATTTGGAAAACTCCCTTCAACAAAACACCTACTCAAGCTTCCTGATGCACTTCACTACATGACCCAGTCAAAATACATGACGCAAAAAGCGATTACCGTACCTTTCAATGAGCAATGTTCTTACTGCTCCCTCCTCCAGATCAAGGGGGAGAGAGACAGCGACTTAAGCCGAATACCACCGTACGAACAGGACGCTACATCCCGCGGCTGTGGCACAGTCGCGTCTGACTGGGACGAAACCCACGCCGGCCTCTAGACGGGATCGCGAGGGCGTGCCGCCCACGTCCGTCATCACGTGACCGTCTGCCGGCACGGCGGCTGTGACTGCGCAGCTCGCCAGCAGCGGGCACTGGAGCGGCCGCTGCCGTCCGCGACACCACCGGAGCGGCGCCGGCCGATGCCGCCGCACGGCAGCGCCGGCGCTCCGCGGCCGATCCGGGGCCGACCATCGGCCGCGGTCGGCGGACGACGCCGGCGGCCACAGAAAGCAGGCAGGTCAGCTCCCGACGGCCGCTGGATCGTCGGAGCCCCATTCACCCCAGAGGGCCCATGAGGCCGACGAGTTCCTGGGTACCAGGGCAAAAACATCCTGATAGGGCCGCAGGGAAATTGTGTTCCTGAGGAGCGAGCGTATACGGTAAACAAGGCGATGCAGCTTACTTGCTCACTCACATTATTCTTGATGGTGTCATTAGTTGTTATGCCGAGATGCACACAGCCAAAACCTTTAAAGACCTGAAAAGGTGCCTTTCAATCTGAATAAGTGTCATTCATTTCACAACCGTTGAGACCCTAATGACCACAAGTTGGAAGTGCTGCTCGCATTTACACCCCTTTTGGGAATGAATACTGCAATCGCCGAAGTGGTCCTCTGATGTGATGCCTCCCTGGGTGAATGAGTGCTTCAGCGATACTGGTGCGATAACTCAGGGAGCAGGAAACGTCGCGGGCCGGGCGAGTCGCACCTCGGGTGGCGGCCGTTCTAAGAAAGGGCCTTACCCCCGACAGTGCGTCGAGTCGTCTGCGCAGGCGCCGGCCCTACGTGCCGAGTCCATTTCATTTGCAGTGGGCCCGGCCGGTCGTGCGGCCGCCGGCCGGGCGTGCAAACGGTAACGAGCGGCCGCCTCTGCCTAATTCATGACCCAGCCGAGCCGGCGCACCCGGATCTGGCGCCGGCCGAGGCCGGTCAGGGACGGCTGGGACGGCCCGCTCCGGCGTCAGGTCGATCGCGGCTCGCGGCTCGCGGCGCGGCGCGGCCAGGTCGCGCGCGTCGACGCGAGCCGGGTCACCCGGACGGCCGTGCCGGCGAGGCACTCCGGCGGGATTTGCGTCACCACTGCTGTCCACCGTGAGCCGGTGGAGTCCGCGAGCGATGCCCTGTAGTCGCCGTGGACGGACCGAGCACCCGCAGGACGCTCGCGCCGCCCGGTCTTGCTTTCTCCGGCCAATACCGACGGGCCAAACGGCAAAGCTCAAAAGCAGTACAAGTGTAGAATCATTGTCCAAGCAATGGCGCCCCGTTCGCCACCTAAGCGTGGCACCGTCAACAATGGTGCATCGGGCGATCGCTGTTTACATTCACACGCGAAGAACTGCTCGGCGCGATGTGCCAATCGCTGTGAGTGTCGCACGGAACGTCAATTTGGAAAATACCTAATTTTCGAAACGTCCCGGGGAAGATACAATTGCCGCCGTGAGGCCCCAGGGGCAGTCGAGTCACAAATGGGACGTCACGGACGAGGACGCGGGACACCATCCCGGCACTGCTCGCAAGCGCCCAGCCAAAAGGCGAGACAATCATCCGGAGGCGACAGCTGGCTGCTCCACGGTGACGCAGTCGCGTGGCGATCGCGCTCCGCGTCGCAGTGCCGCGCGTTCACCGGTTTGCTGGTGCCGGCTGCGACGCCCGAGATGCTCCGCTCAGCAGCGACAATCAGCCAGCTAAGGTGTCCTGATCCTGGCCGGCACGTGCGGCGCCCACGCTCGGCCGGCTGCCTCCCGCCGGCACGCACCGCCGTCAAGCAACTGATTGGACACACGATCCCGTTCGACGGGCCGGATTAGCCGGTCGCGTCGCGCGTCCGGTCGCGCGGCACGCCCGTAAGGATCGGGCGCGGAGGACAGGCGGCGGCAGTGTACACGAGCGGAGTGCCCCTCCGCCTCCCACGGCACCGGCGCGCCCGGGGGTCGGCGGTGCTCGCGTGCTCCGCTGCTCACCCAGCCTGAACTCCGTCGCTGATAGTCCGTAACGGCGAAATAGTATGACATCGATTTCGAATTTTTGGTACACGCACTGCTTGCTAGGATCTATTATGAAGTTTTTCAAGAGCGGGCCATCGCATCTTTACCACTAGGTTTTAACAAGCGCTCATGAAGCATAAGGTGCATGCATCACCTTGTTTTTATACTGCCGTTTGGAGTTGGCGGTGAAAAATCGCTACAAGAGAGTCGCAGAAACGTGTCTACACGTGGGCTTGTTCATGACGCATTAAACCATGCAAAATATCGCGTGAGCCAGCGGTGTTCGGAGCGGTGGAAACATGTTATGGAAAAGACGGCCTGCTACGAAAAGCGGCCTACATGTCCCAAAGTGGCCATATAGGCCGCTGACAGCGGCGGAAGGGTTTCTGAAGCGTCGGCCTGAGGGGTGTACACAGCAAAGGACATTTGTCACCGCATTGGACCACAGCAACCAACGTTCATAATAGTCGTACCTATGGCCATAAATCGTCTAACCAAAGCTAATGGATGTTGTGTTGCATGCGAAAGGCTACAGCTCGTGTCACTGGCGGACAAGAAATCGCCCAATGCAAAAACAGGCGGCTGCATCCCCGGAGCCAGTTACGCTAGATAATGACGCCAGCCCATCAGCACCACTCGACTCCGATCCGCTGACCACTGCTGGCTGGCCAAAGACGACGTTTCCGCTGACCTACCCACCGACCAATGAGGCCAGTTATCGATATTGTTGCCGACCATCACCGTTGCTCAATTATCAAGCGGGTGCAAACGCACACTGCCAAACGTCCCGGCTTAATGGCGTTGAACACGAATGAAGACGTCGAGACATAGCAAAAAGCAGCCGAAGGCAGCCACAGCTTACTTTCACAGGTGTGTTGGGATAGCCGACACAGGTTAGCTCCTTTTGTGCTATATGAGCAAATGTCCTAAAAACATACATTTTCCACCAATGACAATTTTATTAAGAACTGCTTAGCTTTCTTTCATCCATAGGCCAGCAATGTCACTGGAACTTAACGAAGCACTCAGCCGCTGATGCTCTATGCGTCCCCTGCCTCTCACTAGGCAGGACGGGCAAAACGGAACCTCTTACCTCTGGCTTCCCATGCCCGCGGCTAAACCACCATACTACCAGTACCTATCCGGAGACGGCCCTGCCCAACAGTGGTAGTCGCTTAAAGGCTGTTCTTTCCCTGGGATGGCACTAAAGCTTCTAGACAGCGTCAGTTCGCCAGCAGTCCCTGAAAGAGCCAGGGACTCTGCGTATTCACGAGCCCATCCGGGACGTCTTTTCATTCAACCAAAACACCGGGATACTTACTTTGCGTTTCAGATTCCCACCCAGACAACCGTCTATTGTCAGTAAGGAGAGCCTACTGATCACCTTTCAGGCTAATCTGCAGCACTAGCTTCTTCACTTGTGGCAAAACCTGCTCGTTTCACTAGGCTCGCTTCAGTCTGCAGTCCAACATGACTGCCACATTCCGCCGTGCTATCAACTCAGCGAGCCCCTCGTCGTGCGGCACACCCCACCTAGCCCCCTTGTGGTGCGGCACACCCCACTGAGCCCCCTTGTGGTGCGGCACACCCCACTGAGCCCCCTTGTGGTGCGGCACACCCCACTGAGCCCCTCGTGGTGCAGCACACTCCACTGAGCCCTCTCGTGGTGCGGCACACCCCACTGAGCCCCCTTGTGGTGCGGCATACCCCACTAAGCCCCCTTATGGTGCGGCACACCCCACTGAGCAGCGTGCCACACCACCAGCAGATATCTGAGGCTTACAGCTTTCGGTAGTTCAAATTTAACATTTCTCACTTTATTTTCCATCAATTTCTTGGCAAGCGGGCACCCCAGGCAATTTCTAACGGTATTCATGAGCTTTCAAAACCCACTACCGAAAGCGCAGACAGAGCTGAAGCAGAGGGCTGAAAGCAGCATATCGCTTACAGGTCATTGCAACTGCCATGACCCACCGGAAGCTCACTTCTGCGTTTCAGCATTACGGAAAGGAGGAGCCTCGCGGTGACGTCATTACGGCCCAGCTCCCCGGAACGCAACAAATGGATACAAACCCCGACCATCATTGTAGCGTCCGTTGTGGGCAATGGCTGGCGGTAATTGCGAACTTTTAAAGATTGCTTGAAAGACAATTAAAGTTCGGTGTGCACGCAGACGTTTTTATGAGCATTACAGTGCGACGGTTAACATAAATCTTAAAAGTTTCCTAGCGTCTATATCTTAGCGGCACGACTTTGGTGGCTTATTTTTGGTTAGAAACGCTTTGCAGATCATTAAAATAAGGTTTTTAAATAACTAAATGTTAAAAAATTGCGGTCTGTGTGTACACAAAAGAACATGCTTATACGAGTAGGCATCATGCCAGACCTACCCCTACCACAACTTGCCGATTTGTTTACACTATTGTAGTGTATGGCAGTTGTTTAGAGCGCCTACGCGCCAGGCACTTACAGTTGCGCGAGAGAGTTGGCCTTGGGTGGTGGCGTGTGGAAGGGGCGCGAAGTGTTCGGACGCCTCGGACGTTATATTATTGCTATTGTTGTTATTACCGAGGCATTGGGCAAATACTCAAGGTAACACCTGACTTAGTGTTTGGTCGGGCTGTGAGAGCGGACGACACTACAACTATTCCGTGGCATATCTGGAGTAGACGCGACAAAATAAACTTTATATCCTATCAGCCTCCTGTTCATATACGTATATATATATATATATATATATATATATATATATATATATATATATATATATATATATATATATATATGTGGTACCTACAGACCTCACATGCCGAAAAATGGTACACTGTAAATGCTCCTTGAATTAAATGATTCTCAAAGTCCGCACTGCTCCACACGACACCAGTGTAAACAATAATGGCGTGGCCAGCATCAAACGCCCTCGACCGATCTCCACTGTTTCCAAGCCTGGTATGATCCTGGACTTTGGGTGGAGTTAAGGCATGGGCTGAAAAAGCGTATATCTAAAAACGTATGTCATACGAAGTCCTCGTTTCGTGTTATCAACTTACTTGGAGCGAATTTATGCATCGCGAAAAACGCTAGTATCCTATTCTCAACTATGTTTTGACATTTTTGCCGAAGTTTGTGTACCTCATACGGAATTAGTTCATATGCACGGGGATATTACAGCGTGTGGGCTACCATGGCGTAATTCTTGGAAATAGCTCCGACGCCGGGCAAACTCATGTTTTTGGTTGCCTGACAGCTATTGAATGCGGCGCCGGCTTCCTGCTGGATCGCACGCTTCACTAGCGACGCAGCAGTGCGCGGCCTGAAGATGCCTGGTTCGATGTCCGGCCACCGAGACGACGTTCCAGGTTAGCGTACCAAAATACTCCATGCCTCCGATGGGAGCAAAGCGCTTTCCTCCGTGACGGTGCCGGACTTACCCTTCTCGCGGTCCGCCCTGAGTGAGGTCGAACACTTGACGAGGGTTGAGCAGCCACTGGAACTTCTGCATCAGCTTGGCGCCCTGGTTACCGCCACTCTTGGGGTTGAGGAACACGATGACAGGGTGCACGTTGGCCGTCGGAATGGGCTTGATGGCGAACGCCCGCGTCTGGTCCTTATCGATCTGCAGTAGGAATGCAGTCGCACGCTGTGACATAAAATGGCCTCAGATGTCCGGTGCTCCGCCATTACATTGGAGTACGTGACACGGGCTATATCCGGGCTCACGCTTCAAAACCAGACGCATTCGTACGCACGGAGTTGTGCAGCAAGTTCGCTGTCACTTTTGATAGCGAAAAAGCAACAAACATGCAGAGACATCTAAAAAAAATCGTCGACCTGTCAAGGACGAGCGGGCACAAAAGGTAGCTGGCTGGTCCAGGGTAAGCATTTAATACATCCAGTGAAGCGTATGCCTTTCATTTGGGCTAAGGGAGCCCGAGACTAACACAATCACCAGCATCATGGTCGCGAACACCACGCATCGATTGAGTGCGTGGTGGAGCAGAGCTCACGCTCGTGGCGGAGCGTATTACATTGATCACTAATGAGATGACCCTTGTTGCTGATGTGATTACCACCCACCCGCCTGCCATGGTCGGATGACGAGAAAATGACAGCGCTGGCTTCAGCCGACATTAATACCGAGTTTGATGACGCAAATTACTGAGTGCGATCGATGGCTGAGTGTAATACGATGTGGTGTAGGATGATAAGTGCAGCAGACACGATAGCGTAGTAGCAAGACGTCGAGCTGGAAGAAAGAAGCTAACGTTGATGAAAATGTGCTTATAATTTTGGATAGCATTCGGATTTACACGCCTCAACATTAGCTCCATTGATGTGGATAGAGAATACGCGTCTTAGGTATTTTATATTTCATGTCATGCCCCAACGCCACGCATTGGTGATGTGGGTGGAGGTTGGAGCATCCTACAACTTGAAACCAAAAAAGCAAGCCTCTGGCATGTAACAGTCTTGGTTTCTTCATCTTACATGAGCCCCTGACATAATAAGACCAGCCTGCTCCAGCCGTGGCTGCTTCCGCATCCGCCATCTTTACAGCTGATTTTCAAAACAATGGAATTCGCTTCGATACAACGATACTAGCGCATCCCCGCAATGCAAATTTACATCCGTGCATACACTGGCAGTTCGTCGCACGAAACGGAAAAAACTCATAATTTTGATTGCACCGTATATGTGCATGTGACGGGGACCACTCAAGGGGATCTTTAATCTGATTAGAAAAAATGAGAATGATTAAATACCTGAACAGCTCACAGGCAGCACCTACACTAACAATGGGTCACTGAAAAGAGCGTAAGTCGTAGTTGTATTTTATGAAGTCGGGCTGTCGTCGGTTCTAAATCAGAAGGGGGTAGGCCACCTTTCGTGTACCTTTCGTTTATTAGATCAGACGCGTCCGATTTGATCAGTAATACGGTTTTCTGGAAATTCTTCTGAATAGCTCAAAACTTTGATTTGAGGCAATGCTTTCGGCAGAAGAAATCTGACTGGGCCCCCTACTCATCACCGTGAAAGTAAACTTTTCATTTGCCTTGCTTTTTGCGTGTGCTTTTCGCAATGTTTGCAATGCACTAATTTGCCAAAATATCTTTGTGCTTTAAATGCCACGGAAGCGTGAAAAAGTAATTTGGAAAAACAATATAAACACATGAAGCTATAATCACAACAAACTAGCAAACCGTTACACTATGGCTTTGATTTCCCACTACCGCGTTTAGCGCAGTGGGTCTTTTCGAAGCACACTTTGAATTTAGGAGACAGCAGAGTATCACATGGTTTACAGTGACGCACTGTCCCAAACGTCAACCAATGCGCTTGTCAGTAAGTAGCCCTCGTCACCCACCGAACCATTTGCAAACGTTCATTTGCGCTGACGTCATTCTTACTAGCACAGGTGCCACTTTTAACCGCCTAACCCACAATGTACGGGTTAGAACACCTCAAGGACGGTAACTCTAGCTGCTGAGTTGCTGCAACTGCCGTCGCCATGATGGCGACAGTTGTCATGACGACGGCGGTCGTGACAACTCCAGTTGTCGCGGACCAGACCTTCACTCCGGATCCACCAAGAAAAAAGTGTAGTGCTGTGACTCGACGTTCGGACTTGTCAAGCGTAAGCATGAACGACAGCGTGATTTGGATTCTAAGAATACAAATTAACCTTCCCATTATATCTTGATAGTGCCACAGCGGCACTACCCAGTGTCACCATTATATGTAATTGGTTCTGAGGTTTCACCGGACTATGCTTTTTAAACGCGCCCCAAATGTGGGGCAATCTTTTAAAACTATTCTAAAACCTGGCAATGACCTCATGGCGACAGGTTCCTACCCCACCCGATGTGCGGGCACCAAACTGGCAACGTGGGCTGCACCGACTTGCAACGCCTTCCATGCATGTCAACATTTCCTGATGCTGGCAAAGCGCCGGCGCTATTCGCTCAATTGTCGCTCCGGTGCCACCGACATTCAGTGTCGGCTTGCACCGCACTACTTAATCTCAAGTTCTCACCCATTCCCGGCTTTTCCGACGACTAGAGGACCTCTTCTTGGGCGACTTGCGGAGGCTGGACTTGAAGCTTCCTCTGCGGGGCAGCTTGACGATCCATGACGGCGGCACAATGATGTCCTCGTGAATGCCTGAAACACAGCAGCGAAACACACGTCACGTAACCCCCCACGAGCGAGCGATTTTATTTGCCCAGCGCGGTTGGCTTCCTTTCACGCTTTTCCCCCTGAGCCAGGGTTGCCGCTTGTGGCGGGCCGCGCGCGCCCCACCTGCCCTGCCACCGGATCATTTTCCGTTCCTGTTGAAGCACCGCTCGCTGCAGCCCGTCCATCTGGATCTGACGGCAGCCCCAGGGGGCAGCCAGGCGGGCTGAGCCACGTAATCCTCTCAGTCCACTCGCCTCGATTGTTCCCCGGGGACGAAAAAAGTGCGGTCGCTTTAGTAATGGCTTCGGTGGTGCCGTCTCCTTTCACCCGTGGGAGGAGTATCATCCCTGGACTAGGGACGGCGTCATTTCATTCGAAGTCCCAAAGAGAGCTGGTCCATTGACTTAGACAATATATTCCTAGTTCAAAAGACTAACGGTCCAGCGCAAAATCTATTTGGGGCAAATTTCCTAACCGCAATGTGTGCCTGGGCTATTCCTGAATACGCCAGCCATATAAGCTGCAGTTTGGGCATCTAGAGAAACTGCAACGCAACTAGGCAAATCGTACAATCAGGGTAACCAACGCACCACCTTTACTGGGATTATACGAGAGAAACGTTGTGAGCGTGAATGACACAGATACAAGACGCACAGATTACTTGCGCAATTAACATGACTTTGAATTTACCGTTCACTGGTCACACAGACGACCCTTACAAGCAGTGAGTGCAAAACGTCCCAAATATGTGTGTTTCGTGGAGCATGTACGAAGAGACTCGTAACAAATGCTCACTTTTCTGGTATGCAGTCGCATTGCAGCAAAAGCAAACCATCAAATGGCGTGACCAGGACATCTCATGAAAATTCAAAGCTCCCCGCGTGCGCAGCACTACCCCTCAAAACACCACGCAATGCCCAACAGCCGCCTCTGCAAGAGCTGTGCCGCACGGGCCGGCGCCCGAACAAGGGGCGGGGCAGGGGAAGGGGAGCGGCCATTTTGGACGGGCGGCGTGCACCCCACCCCACCAGGCCCCCCCCCCCCCCCTGATGTGTCCAGCACAGGCTTCAGCACACGATCACGTGAACTGTGGACCAACGCCGCCGAAGCCGCCGCGAAAGGGATCTGCACTGGCCCTGGAGATACGGGACATAGCTGACACCCCTGCCCGCCCCCAGTAACTGCAGCAACGTGGACACCCTGCGGGGGGGTCAACGGAGCCGGGTTGGGATAATGCCAGAGTAGGGCCATGACTTGGGATTGGCTCCAGCCTGCGATGTCAGAGATTCCAGATAGCATAATGCATAAGTAAGACAGAACGCGGAAGGGAGGGTGCCAGCGAACAGGGTTTTGGCTGAGAAATGGGTCAGATGGAGTCAGTCGTCCATCGACTGTTTCGAGGCCAGTTTCAACCCTTATGCCGTATTCGAAATAATTGGGGGGCGTCCGTGCTTATCATCCTATTTCTTTGACGACCGATCCACGACCAACAGCAAATGAGGGGCCGAAATGACAGGGAACAGCAAAAACAAGCTACCCACAGACTAGCCCACAGTAGATATTTACTGTTGCAAGTTCTCCGCGATCACGCCCAATGATGCCCAATATCTGACGCGAAATTTACATGAACTACTACACACCGACCTCACGACAGACCCTTCATCTACTGACATCCACCAGTGGAGGCGGTCACCAACCACAGACCCTTCACATACTGGCAGTTACCAGTGGCGGTGGTCACCAACGACAGACCCTTCACATGCTGACAGCCACCAATGAGAGGTGAGGGCGGTCACCAACGACAAACCCGTCACGTACTGACAGTTACCAGTGGAGGCGGTCACCAACGACAGACCCTTCACATACTGACGGTCACCAGTGGAGGCGGTCACCAACGACAGACCCTTCACATACTGACGGTCACCAGTGGAGGCGGTCACCAACGACCGACCCTTTACGTACTGACAGCCAGCACTGGAGGCGATCACCAACGAAAGACCCTTCACGTACTGACAGCCACCAGTGGAGGCGGTCACCAACGATAGACCCTCTACACACTGATCATTGGAGGCAGCCGGTAAACGACAGACCCTCCGCACACTGACCAGTGGAGGCGGCCGATAGCGACAGACCATACATTGACAGTCATCAGTGACGGCGGCGGGCAGCCTTTTCCTTCGAGCACATCCCCATCCCCACGACGCAGGGCGAAACGACACAACTTGCCAGCAACGACCGGCAGCGAGCGGGCAAGTTCGGACCTAATTCGCGCCGCCGGACTTCGCCGGCGCACCGAGCCACCGGCCCCATGACACACTGGAGCCTTCAGCGCACCCCGCCGCGACCGGGCTTCGGCATGAGCCGGTGCTCGCGGGCTGGAGGTGGGCGCAGGAAGGTTGGTGAGCGCCGACGGTCAGACAACCAGAGTTTCAATGCAAGCACTTATTGGGAGCATTGACACATTTGGACATTTCGTAGCCGTTGGTAAGAGTTCATGGAATGGCAACATACTGTCGATGTCTGGTAACATAGGTACATATGTAGATGTATATATATATATATATATATATATATATATATATATATATATATATATATATATTGTATTACTGACCATGTCAGACAGCGTAATGTTCTTGTTTGCTCACATATGTTCACGCAAACATAGGCACTCGGCAGCTGCCCATTGTTGCCCAAATGGCAGCCACAAATTTTAAGCCCGCTCCAGAGCACATGGGCAGTCGGGGGTACATTTTCCTTGCTTACGACGCGCATAGGCAGGCTGGTAGTGTACCAGATTGACAGGCAAAGCTGGCAGATGCCTTCGAACATCACGTCACGTCATGCCACTCACCTAGACTACATTGTTCCTCTAATCGCTGGATGTTGAAGCAGGGCTCCTTGTTGTGGTAGGCAGTCCGGCACCACGAACAACTTATTGCTACAATTTCTTTGGTAGAAAACGAAAGTTTCGACATAAAGCTCTGCAAAAGAAGGCAGCACACAAAAGTTACATCCCGGTAGAGGGTGATGGTAGAGTAGCAGAGTCGCACACATCGGTAAACAAGCAAAACTACGCGCCGCAGTGGCATTGTATGGAGCTTCTCGCAGCGGGGGGAAGGTGTCGCCGTTGCTCGAAACCCAAACCTTTCAAAATGTCAAACAGAGAACACACAAACTCACGCTGACGAATGAATTTTAAGAACCCGCGGGAGCCAGTGCTATGGCTGTGGTGTGAGCGTTGTTCAGCGAGGAAACGACGTCCAAACATAGCCTGACGCTCAGCACGTCAACAGGACTTTAGCGCGAGGTGGCGGGCCACGCTGCTCCAACTGATCCGACAACACCAGCACCGACGTCAAAGGAACGAGGCGCACGGGCCCACGCCACCACTGTTCCGGCGCGTGCATGCGAGGATCTCGTAGCCGTCGGCGACAAACGCGCGGATGTCACGCAAGGTCGTAACGATCGCCGGCGACAATCGGGCCGGACGGCTGCACGCCGCGCCCTCCGTCACGGAGGCAGCCGCCCCGCCTCACGCTCGTCGCAGGCGGCGGCCCGCCCGCCCTGTGATCAGTCACCGCACGGCTGATGGGCGGCCGCAGGCGATACGCTGTTGCAGGAGCGGCGACAAAGCCGGCGGCCGTGAGCCTGACCGGGCAGATTGTCATCTGCCAGCGATGACGAGCCTGAGTCACCTGAGAAGCAGGCTCAGCGCGTCACCGTGTTTGGCTAACTTGGGCATTCTCCGCATTGCGATTTTGCAGTTCGGTCCTCCGCCATACGGGAATGCGATATTTCGAGGCGACGGACTGTCTCAAAACTGTCGGCTTTTCCAAAGCCCCGAAGCGAATCATTTCACCAGCATTTTCCTCCGGCTGTCATCTGAAGCAGGACCTTGATTAAGGCTCGGCCTGACTGCTCAGCTGAGCTCAACCAGAGCTCGAGTGGAATCGGCGCCGGACGGGAAATCGACCGGCAGCGCGCCTCTGGCTCGCCCTGCTTCAGCCGCGACCCGTGGACCGTAAGCCCGCAGCAACAGCCTGGCGGAGCTGGCGCTCTAAGCGAAAGAAAAAAAGATCAAATGCTGATTTGTTTCGGTTTGCCGTATAGAAAGTAACGATCAGTTAACATGCAATCAGCTGTCACAAATTCATCTTATTGATTGACACAGCAGGCTGGCTGGCAAAGGAACGCCAGGAAGGAATTCTCGTAACTATCCGCCCATAAATCTTTGACTCCTTACGAGTGTCAAAGAATCCGGCTGCGCCAAGTGCGTTTGACCGGCCGCGCCCTGCGATTGGTGCGGCCGGCGCCGGGCGGAGGCTGCTCGGTGCCGCCGCCGGCGCAGGGGACGCCGCCGATGTAGGGGACGCCGCCGCGTCAGGTGCGAGTGCCGGGGACGGCGTCATCACTCAGTTGAAGCGATGGCGACCGGCGAGGCGACGGACAGGCGCCGGCCGCCGCGGCCCGGCCATGGGGAGCAGGCGGACTTTCCCAGCGCCCCGCCGCGGCCATATTTCAGCGGCCGCACTGGCCGGCCGGCGCCGCCGGTGCCACAGGTGAAATGGTCCGGACGCGGCGCAGATGGGCCGCCCTGAGCCGGCACCGCCGCCGAAGCTCCGCTCCCAGAGGCTGAACGCGAATGGCTCGACGGAGGGGCGGGAGGCGACAGGGGACGGAGAACGGATGGCTGGGAGCGAGGGGGAGGTCATCTCTCCCGTGTCATCACTCCATCCATCATGACCAGTGATGGATGTAATAGAAACGGGCGCTTTGGATGGATGATACGCGTGGAGTAGGATAAACTGAGGCTTGAATGAGGCAAAAGAATGCAGTTCAAAACCGGGAGAATGGACGAGCTCAGATTACGAAGACCCATCGATCGGCGATGGAGCTGAGCAGCAGGGTCAGGGTCTGAGCTCCTGCACACAGCTGAGGGAGGGAGCACCAATGCCGGAGCCACGTACGCACCACCCAGTTTCGGAACACCACAACCTCAGACGCCACGCCGGACAGGGGAACAAAGCGCCCACAATATTCTAACGTTTGTTTTGCGCGGGCACAGGGTGACGTGTCGGTGTGCCTCAGACGCAGCGCGGAATAAATACAGAATATCAGTCAGTTCCAAACAGAACTCGAAGAACAATCGCAGCGCAAGTCCCACCGACTGCATCGATTGATAAACCACACATGAACCCTAATTCGCGAGCACGGATGCTCTACTAACGCACCACTTCGACCCCCGCATACACGCGGGTCTCGTGACCCCCGTATGACATACGAGCTTTTATTGTGCATTATCAGCATAAAGGGCGACGGCTTCCAGTGGCACGTGCAGACTGATGGACCAACCTCAGACCCGAAAGCTCCCAGCCCTGATATCAGCGTACCGACGGGACGAGCACGGGATCCACAGACCGCGAATAAAACAAACAGCCGATATGGAGACGGACGACCGGCCTGACTCAGCCACTGACCTTTCCACAGTGTTTACATTTGCCCTTCTGATTCCGGCGATGCACCCAGTGGTGAGCTGTGGCCGTGTTGTCCCGGTACTGCCGGATCCCCACGTCCCTGCAACAGACCGGACACGTGGTGAGCCTCCGCTGCCGCCACTGGCACGCGGCCCTGCCGCCCAGGCCATGCCAGACACGTGGCGCGAGCTGTCCGATCGCGAGCCACGTGGTGACCCTCCGTGCCCCACGCCAGACGAGCGGTAGGCCGCGCGGCGTCTGTACTGACGTGTGGTGAGTCGGCCCCCGGTGCGGACTCGGGGCCGGCTGCCCGGCCCTGTCCGTCAGCCGCGTGGTTAGTTGTCCGGGACAGGGCACGGAGACGTGACGTCGGGGCGCGGCCTGCGCGCTCCCGTCTCCGGCGGGCCGTGACACAGTCAGTTACCAAATACCATTGCATGTCGTTTCTACACGTTGTCATGTCTACGTCATGTTTGTTTAGAGTAAGGATTAATCATATCCAACAGATTGGGATGGGAATCCACTCGGGTTCTGGGGACTGAACCAGAGGAGGAAACTGATCTTAAATCGTGCTTTGGCACTGATCATGAGAATAAAGTACTTTTCACGACCAAAAGTTGTGGAAACACATCACGGCAAAGCCGCGGGCACGTCCCAACTCCGCCGCGCCAGTTCCGCCAATGTAGCAACAGATGGCAGCACACGATAATCGCTTGCTTCACAACAGGGAAGGTCAAACACGACCAACAGATGGCAGCACGGGAATGTCAAGCAGTTCACTGTTCGCACAGAGGGCGCTGGTGCTGCGACTGCTCGCGAGACGACCTCTGCCCAGCATCCACATCGCCCACGTGCCACTGTTGTCGGGATTCCCCATTGGCTCCCCTCCCCTCTCCTCCCACAGCCGATCACTGCCACGCGCCTTAAACGCCTCCCGTTACAGACTATGGGAACGGACAGCTGCCCGGACATCCGCCCCGGTGCCGTCCGCAGAAACTACTCCAGAAACTATCGCGACGCATCTCGCCCGATCGATACGCTGGCACAAGGTGTTCGGTGTGGCCGGCGGCCGTCAGTGACGGACTTCCGAATGAAATGCAACACGCGGTGCGCCGGAGCCGTCTCTGAACGGCATCGGTTCCCACCGAAAGTTGGCCAGCGAGTTGTTGGCCATGTTGGCCATGTTGGCCAGCGAGGTCAGCCGCACGCTTAGCCTTCGGGGCGGCGGCGGAGCGGCGTTTCCGATGACCCGTGACGGTCAGAGTGTAGTGAGCAAACACAGCAGCCGACGCTATGAAATCATCCGCCTACAGCCCGGCACTGGACCTGACTATACTGGACACCTCGGTCGCCAGTGCCCAGCGACTGCAGACCAACCAACCGACCGCCGGAAGACCGCCGTCCCGGTTGCAGTCCCGAGCGCCGTCTCTGATGAGCTTCGGCTCCTCTCGCGCCGCTCACTGCACCAGCTGCCGCCGAGCCGGAGGTCCTCCGGTCCCAGCACCGGCGGGGGGTCGCTCTGGGTCCCGGGGGTGTCATCCGCTGTCACGGAGTTGCGCGCCATCCCCCCCCCCCTCCCCACCCAGGCTGCACGAGCGTGGGCGCCAGCAGACGGCGGCGGTCCGCTGTCGACCGGCACCGCCCACTGCACGGCCATCACTCACGACAAACAGCGTGCGGCCTGCACCATCAGCTGCACGCGCAGACCACCGCCGCCGATCGCCGCTCACAGCACGCGGCCTGCACCATACTGCCGCTGGCCGCCGACAGCATGCAGGCTGCACCGCCTACTGCACACGGCGGACAGGCACCACCGCTCACTGCACACCGCGTGCGGCCTGCACCATACTGCCGCTGGCCGCCGACAGCATGCAGGAAGCACCGCCTACTGCACACGGCGGACAGGCACCACTGCTCACTGCACACCGCGTGCGGCCTGCACCATACTGCCGCTGGCCGCCGACAGCATGCAGGCTGCACCGCCTACTGCACACGGCGGGCAGACACCACCGCTCACTGCACACCGCGTGCGGCCTGCACTATCTGCGCTACAGAGTTGCGCGCGTTGAGCCTGTTTTAGAGAGTTGGTCCAAGCCTCGTGACGGGACGATTTTCTGTGGTATGCCTCCACACTAGATCGTGATTGCTGCGCGAGCCCTGACCCCAACGTCTGGACATTCAAATCGGGTTAGCGGCTTAATTTTAGCAGCCAAAGCGTTACGTGCCGCAATACTCCGCACGGTGCGTCCTGCCCTTCGTCAGCTGAACTTTAGCGCGGCTGCATCCTCCGGCCGAAGGCCATCTTATTTCTGTTTAAATAGCGAACGCCTGGAGCGAGTCGAACCCAGCCGCCACACGTAAGTGAATCGGCAGGCAGACGCTTTAACCAGCTGGGGTATCGAGAAGAGCCCCCCCCCCCCCCCCACGCACACACATACCAATCGGGAGGCAGACGCTCTAACCAGCTGGGCTACCGGGACGAACCCCCTACCCCAGTCCACCCCCACCCCCCCACCCCCTCCCCCCAACCCCGCTCAACAATCGAGAGGCAGACGCTCTAACCAGCTGGGTTATCAAGACGACCCCCACCCCCACCCCCACCCCCCGCATACCAATAGGGAGGCAGACGCTCTAACCAGCTGGGCTATCGGGACGAACCCCCTACCCCCAGTCCCCCCCACCCCCCCACCCCCTCCCCCCCCAACCCCGCTCAACAATCGAGAGGCAGACGCTCTAACCAGCTGGGTTATCAAGACGACCCCCACCCCCACCCCCACCCCCGCATACCAATAGGGAGGCAGACGCTCTAACCAGCTGGGCTATCGGGGCGAGCCTCCCCCTCCTGCCTACCAATCACTAGTACAATATGGAGACAGCCGGAGTACACAAACGGCGTCATCCACAACTAACAGCATAAGTGACGTTTGACAGTCTGTGTAGCGATGGGTATTAGCAGCGCCAGGCGGTCCATCAATTAAGATTAACGAGCATACTACACGCAACGCACACCGGGGAAGAGCCGCCACCTTCCCGCGTACGTCTGGCGCTGTACGCCGCTGTCATTTGCTGCCCCCGGGCGCCTCCCCGCCACCTTCCCGCGTACGTCTGGCGCTGTACGCCGCTGTCATTTGCTGCCCCCGGGCGACTCCCAGAGCGAGCGTCACTGCCCGGCGGCTGGGCCCACCGCCGACTCCACACCGCCGCACGCCGCTGCAGTCGCAAACATGGCCGAAAACATTCTGGGATTCACCGCTGACGCAGGCAGCATCCATAACACGGCGGCAAACACCGCGGACGAGCCAGCCACGATATGGGAGGGGGGGGGGGGGGGGGAGCGGCGGCGAGTGCCGGGGGTTCGGCGCCAGCGGTAAGCTTGGTCGGCACAGCCGCCGCCGCCCACAGCCGCCCCCGACCGGCGTTCGCCGTGCAGCAGCACGCACACTTTGAAGAGTTGCAAGTGCTGTGCGCACGCATTTTAAAGGTGCGGGACGTGGGTGTCACTTCATTACTTTGCAAGGGGAGGGTACACCCTCTGAAGTTCACTTGAGCCCCCAATATTCCTTTGAGCCCCCTCAATGCACATGATCAAGAACATAGTACTAGGCGAAAGAAATGCAGACAAACTATCTTAACTATCAGCACACTCAGTACCTAAACATATCATTAATAGTGTCGTCGACTGCAAGGTATGGCAGCTATAAAAGGGAGTACAGGGTAACCAAGATAAAAGGTAACTCGTGTTACCCTCAGCAATGGCAGGCGTATTTACCGCCAAATTAAGATCAGCGACGGCGGCAGTCATCTGGGATTCCATAGCCGTTAAATATTGACGGTACGATGTGCTCCAGATGGCTCCTAGGCGGTCCGGAATGCGCAACAACAGAACCTACTAAAAGAAGTTGATTGTCCGGTCGATGGTCCACGGTGAGGCGCCTCATTTTTGGAGTGATGAGTGATATATATATACTATCAATGAGGATCAGCGAGCACACTACACGTCTTGTTCGTACTTGTTCTTTTTCTGTGGCCAACGTTGTTCACTCAGCCCCCTCCCCAAAGCCCCCTCCCCAAATTTTAGAAAAGGATACCCCTGTTACGGCGCAGAGGTGCAATCAGGTACAGAGGTACAATCAGGTACAGACAATATATGACGAGGTACATGTACAGTATAGAACAGTCACGGCTAACCGACAGCGCACCGCTGCTGCCATAATGAATAAGGAGCATTCACGCGATAAGAACAGGACACAATAAGATCCCGTTATGGTTGACGAGCACTGTTGGGTGCTCCTCGGACTCCAATCTGTACAGTGCTCGCACCGACGGAGCCCTGAACGTTCAGCGGGTGAGGTGTATCCGCGCTCGTACTTGTTCTGTCTCGATGGCCAACACACACCGGACGGCCAACTCGTTCACTTTCCGACGCCCACGAGAACCCGGCAACTCCAAAGCGCGGGTGGGTATCTGAGCATTCCGCGCGCACACAAACAGGCGAGGCACTTCTGCGTGAAATGGTGGCCGACGCCTCGCTACGCCTGCGGATAGGGTCAAACGAGTTGCCTTCGACCCTCCAGCAGTAACGAGAGACTGCGCCAGCTCGCGCACTGAGCTCGCAGCATATTGCCACGCATTCCCACCCATCAGCAACATTAATTTCATACATTTGGGCGTGGCGTTCGTTGAGATGTCAGATGTTTAACATTAGATTGGGCTTCGTGCTGCAAAGCACATTATTTAACGTCCGCCCGCCCATCAAAAAGTCCACGGTCGCCGGCTGCCATTGATCAAGCGGGTTAATCACCAAATTAGTGTGCCAGTGGCCACGATTACGTGAGGCGAAACGTGCCGGCTGCACGACAGGAGTTCGCACCAGACCATCCATGTGAACAGATTGGCAACGTTGACCGCAGTGCGGTCACTGTCACCGAGTCCAACAGATGGCCTCTAGGGCGCGTCGATACAGAAGGGGCGACCTACTTATGGGTGGCACGCGCATGCAAGCCTACAAATCATCTTATCCACAAAAACTAAAACACCACGCTTGTTTTAGAACAAGACAATTTCCCTTATACAGCTATATATATATATATATATATATATATATACATATATATATATATATATATATATATATATATATATATGTAAATATGCGTTTGAGTGTGCATTTTTGTGTGAATAGCATTACCACACCCAACATTCCCAGCACATTTGTTGAACAGATTTTCGGACACACGTCTTTGTGAAGTCACGCAGGCAGCAGTAGCATCCCCAACAGCAAAAGGTGACGCCACCATTCGCTAAACCTTTGTCACGAACACATGCATCGCTCGATCAGCAAACACGTTTATTGTCTGACAGGCCGGCAACGCACGCACCAGGGAACTTTCAAGGTAGGTGAATAAAACAAGAAGCCGAATAATCGACGACTTTTCCACTTCAATAAAGTCCGCGAACTCCATCGAGAAGTTCAACCGAGCGTCCCAAACTTACGCCCGTCGCGGTGATTACCTACAGGAGGAGCTTTGCGTAAACCTCCACTGGATGTACACATACGTGTACACCATGAATACAGAGCACAGCGCACATGGCATGAGGCGGAGCCCAACGTCCAACAATACGCTTATACGCATAATTTTCATGCAGGCATGGCATAACTACCACCTACGTTCATACAAATTTCACGCAATAGGGGACGAAAAAAATTATTGATGCAACATTGGTCAGACAGAACGAGCTTCTTTCAGGAACGCTTAGATGGAAAATGCGAGGACGAAAAAACAGCCATGCATAAAAACAGGCGATTATTCCACGCCTTGAGGGGAGCGAAGACCACAGGGCTGACGAGACCGCCTGCCTGAGAGGCCGGCATAGGACGAAGCACAGAACCGCCGCCTCTCACCTGAACGTGGGCTTGCAGGCGAACTTCACCTTGTCGATCAGGTTAGCTATGCACCCTGTGTGGCAGATGATCTTGCAGGCGGTGCACTTCATCCGGGAGCCAGTCCTCTGCAACGGCAGCAGGGCGGACATCAGACTCTACCCACGCCAGGAGAGTGCCTCCTGCCCCCTCTGCCGGCAGACTGCACCCCCACAGCAGTGTCTGTCGGCCGGCAGACTGCACCCCCGCGGCAGGCAGCAGTCCGACACCCAGCCAGCGTGGCAGTGGTAGCCTGTCACATCATCACGCTGGATCAAGCGCGCCCCACGCAGCGGCCGCGGCCAGGCAGCCGACGCCATGCCCGCGATGTTTTCAACCGTAACAGCACGACCGCAAGGGAAACAACCGCTTACGCTATCGACCGGGCGGCCGCCACAGCGCGTGGCCGATCCACCGTGGGTGCGTGTCGTCGCGGCAGCACCGGGAGACGCCCTCCACCGCGGCACGTCCCGAATCGATGTGCCGAGCGGTGGCCAACTGCGGCCGGTTCAGCCAGAGCAGCGGCGGGCACGATCCCGCCGACCCGGCGCAGCACCCACGCTGGTGGGAGCGCCCTCGCCGGGGGTGGGTGAGTGTTTGCTCCTGGGTAGAGGGCGGTGGCCACGAGCCCGAAGCCCGGGGCATTACCCGCTTGGTTTAGGCCTGGGTATTTGCCCCCGTCCTCTAAGGTCAACGGACAAGTTGCCTAATGGCCTCATAAGGCCACCCTTGAGCCCATCTGCACACAATGTTCGGACTCTTGGAGCCGGGATTTCACGGAGTATTTGGCATCTCCCTCATCGTGGACTAATGGGTCACCCACGTCACCCTGTTTTCCACGACCAGCTGCTGCTCCACATTGATCACGAGCTTCGGGCGTAAAACCACGTGTGTTTGAAATACCAAGCAGCCTTAGTTACTGTCCCCTGAGACACTAAGCAGACCTTGCGCGGGTTGCCGAGGCACATACACTTGCAAATGCTAGCCCGCGTCAAGCACGCCCCAGAATGCAGCTGGGACCTCAACCCAGGGCCAAACTTGCGCACATTTGATGCCAGCCTAAATGAAGTCCGCCACCAGTCCGGGACCTGGACCTGGCGCCGGAGCTAAGCCCACGCCAGACCAGGACCTGGACCTGGCGCCGGAGCTAAGCCCATGCCAGATCAGGACCTGGACCTGGCGCCGGAGCTAAGCCCACGTCAGACCAGGACCTGGACCTGGCGCCGGAGCTAAGCCCACGCCAGACCGGGACCTGGACCTGGCGCCGGAGCTAAGCCCACGCCAGACCGGGACCTGGACCTGGCGCCGGAGCTAAGCCCACGCCAGACCAGGACCTGGACCTGGCGCCTGAGTTAACCCCGCGCCAGACGGGCCGGCGCCGCCGTGACGGGCCGCGTTCCTGCCGGCGTCGTCAGCGCCGCCGCTAATGACGTCGAATTACAGCCGGCCGGCTCGTGCCGTCGTGCCGGTGGCCGTGGCGCGCGCCGCACGCCACGGCCACCGGCGGCATCGATTCGCACGCCGTCGGGACACGTGCGACCACCGGGCGAGCGCGGGCCGACGCCGGCGACGTTCGAGCGACGTCACCGGCTGGGAGGCGGCGCGGGAGCAGGCGATTGACATCTCTCGGCGACAGAGGCGAGCGCGGGCCGACGCCGGCGACGTTCGGGCGACGACGCCGGCTGGGAGGCGGTGCCGGAGCAGGCGACTGACACCTCTCGACGACACAGGTGAGCGCGGGCCGACGCCTGCGACGTTCGGGGCGGCGGCGCCGGCTGGGAGCGGCGCGGGGCAGGCGGCTGACGCCTCTCGGCGACAGAGGCGAGCGCGGGGCGACGCCGGCTGGGAGGCGGCGCGGGAGCAGGCACTGACACCTCTCGGCGACAGAGGCGAGCGGCGCTAGGATCCAGTCCGAGCCGCTGGCAGATTAGTTGTGGTCTATGGGGAGGGGGATTTGGAACAGGGTCGAAGTCAAAGGCCATGGCGTGCTCGTTTGCCTGTGTATCGTTCATTCCGAAGCGTGAGGCGGAAGAAATTGGGGCGAAGATTACCATCAGGTGAAATGCAATGCACAGGCTTTAACACCTTTTTCACAGGCCTTAACGTGAGCACACTGTCCCAAGCTGCGTCCATACACGGAGTTCCTAAGACAAGCAGCCGGCTCACGGGTGGTGTTGAACAGTGGATGACCTTTAGCTGGAGCTAACAGGCAAGTGTTATCCTTAGCGCTGATGTGAGCAATATTCGTATCTAACAAGATTACTAATTTTACTTTCGTTCAAATACGTCTTACTCCATGACTGTCAAAACCCTGTCCGTGGCAAAATGAAACCACACCAGTTATTTTAATCGACTAAACTGGTGAATGTACATTCTTTTTTGGATTTTCAGCATTACAAGGGGTTACAACCTGTCTAGGATTCCAAGATGAAAAACTTTTACAAATCACAATGCATAGCAGCATCGCGATGAAGTTCTAGCATGATCTGTGGAGGCATTGAACGCTTCTGCAATATGCGCGTAGGTAACTTTTCAGGGTACACCGATACAAAAATACAAAGTCATTTTAAAATGGAATGCAATTTCCATGAGCAAAACCCAGTTGAAACCACTTCACGACAAACTGTGCTTAACTTTTTCTTATGGCAGCGGGCCAGTACCACGGCAATAAATGTGCCATCTTAAGATAACATGACACATTTGTTCACGTCACCAATCTTGCAAATTCGTTTAAACATAAGATTGTGCGATTTCTTGGTAGGTTCGAGAGCATCTCTACGGCAGAAAGGTTCGTTTACGCTACGGCGTTCCCGGGTTGGCGATCGGCAGGTAATCCACGCCCCAGGATGCCGCTCAGCAATAACCCTTCCTGGGGGGGGGGGGGGGGGGGGGATACCGAGCAGTGATCCCTGCTCGAAGGGTGCCACCGAAGGGTGATGCATGTCCGGGAGACGCTGCGAGACGTTCATGCCTGTACGGGAGACGCTACGAGACGCTGATGCTCGTCTAGGAGACGCCACGAGACGCTGGTGCCGGCCTGGCGCCGGCCGAGTGACGGCACCATAGCGGCCACCTGCCCCCCAGAATAATTCAGCCCGCTGAGGCGCCGACCGCGTCGCAGAGCAGGCACACAGCCGCGCCATCACTAATGCACGGTGTTCAATACGGCGGCGGCGGCGGCCGTGCGGTACGCCGCCGCCGGACCGGCCGGTCGGTCAGCAGCCCGAGCCGCCACGCCCAGCGGCGGCGCGTGACGCCGGCCGCCGCCGCCGCAGCGGAGGCGATCGCGGCACGCGTCACAGCCGCCGCCGCCCGGGCCGCCCGTCCGCGGGCCGCCAGGCACCAGGCCGGGAAGAGGCCGCTGTCTGCTGGCGCACGGGCTCCTCACGACGCACCACCAGTGGCACGTCTATTGCGGGATCAATATCGCGGCGCCAGAGCGCATTACACCACAGCAATTGAGGACTGCTCGCATAGGACAATAGTGCACTTAACGGCCAACTTTGCGACGTTCCGAAGTCCCAGGAAGCCGTACGTCACTGAAGGGTGAGGTGTTCACTGAGGCCGGCAGCCGAGGGATGAGTGGCGGCATTCATAGACAATATCTGTGGCCACTAAATGTCATCCAGAGCGTGACTGGGTCAGCAATATTTAACTCGCGGGGGTAAGGTGGAGTGGTGGGGTTGACGGCCATTCGCCTATTCACAACGCTGCACAGTTTAACGGCTACCCGTCGAAACTAGCCTGCAAACTTCTCAGTCAGGGCTTGCCGGTCTTTGAAATCCTCTTCACACTGCTTAAAGTGAGGCAACAAACATTCGAAGCACGCGGCCAGGCACAGAGCAATTCGGGAGGAGGAGAGCGGCACTAGCCACCTCCCTGGGGCGTCAGCGCCACAACCATGGCCCCAGGAGGTCGGAGGGCCATCCAGCTCGCGGGCCACAAGGCGGATGCGTCCTAATGCGTGGCTGCGGCACCGCCACATTTCACGACGCAGCAATATAGGACAAATTTCCGAAGGAAGACTGAAGCATAAAGTGGTGTGTTTTTATCACCTTACGAACGTCATTGCGAAAAAAAAACATTTAGTCGCACGGTTACTCAACACCACTCCTTGTTCAGTCACAAAACAGGATTGTCCGCTGGTAACAAAGACATGCTTTTCTGTCTGGGAAAAGCATTCTGCTTGGACAGACAGTCGCCGGCCTAAGTACCTCATACCATACCCGACTCGTTATGTTACGCTGAGCAACGGGCATAAAACGCGGCATTTGGTGCCATACGTTCTAAACTGCCGATACCAATCGTACTCAGCATATTTCCTCCATGATATTTTCGGGCAGCGAAAAACGCGTATTTATATTCCTGGTCAGCTTATTAAGCACGGCCCAGCATGTTAACGCAGCAGCCAGCGCATTCTTTACGTGAGCATTCGCGACATTTCGGCATTGCTTAGCACCGCACCTGGAACAACGCGCCGTAGATCACTGGCATCTCGATTCCCAACGTTCTGCACCGGTCACGCGCCTGACATGCTGACTGAGGTCATGACAGCGCGGCGGAGCACTACGGGATCAGACGTCGCCAAAAGTCGCTGCCGGTGGCCGAGGCGCCGGCCATTTCAGCGCCAAGGTGTGCCGCGCTGGTGTACGGCTCACAGGACGCCGTTCGATTTCCCTCACGTCATCACGGCACCAGACACGCCGAGCAAACAGCTATACCGCAGGTTCAAACCGTGTCCTGGTCCGCAGCCGTTGGCGGCAAAGGGGTCGTGACGAAAGTGCCCACATTGGGCCATGTCCACCAATGCTTCAAAGTAAGCGAAAGCAAGCGATTATATCTAACCAGGAATTTCGTCGCTGTTTTCTTCTCCCCTCACTTGACATTTTTTTGCTGCGAAAACACAAAGCCCCTTGTTTTTTAAGCAGACCTTTACCGCAAAATCTTCGCAAATTTTGACTACATCGCGTTAGCCGCCCGCGCCACACGCAATCGATAGGGCCATGCTAGCCGCCGGGAATCTATAGCGGACGGGCCGCAGCGCTAACGACACATTGATCTGGTGGGCGGGCCGAGGTGGATTAAAAGCCGGGCTCAGCGTCCCTGATCGGCAGCTGATAGTCGTGTGCTTCCCGTCATCGGAATCCCTTGTGATCCTGCGATGTCAAGTCTAACGGATCACAATCACGCTAGCTTCCGATAGGCATGGCCTTAACTGATACCAGATGTTCCCCCTATTATTATTTTTAGTTTTTTCTTTTCGCGCTCTGTTGGCGCACTGTTCACATTGGCTGAAGCTGCAGGACCGCGGCCAGTGACCCCACTCATCCTTGATCGACCTGCTTTTCAACATTGGGGAAATAATTACACGCACGCGGATAACGAGAGCGCTCCCGACGACTGACGACATATAATTTCGGACGAAAGTTCAATGAAAGGCAGGATGTAATTACAGAGCTACAAACAATGAAAGGCAGGACGTCATTACAAAGTTATATTGCAACGTGACAGTTTGCGTCGCTCTGCAACGGAAGTACGGGATTGACATTTTGTTGATTCAGGCGCTCACTACAATGCCCCGCGAACTTGTGATGTATTGCAGCATTTCAAATGAAATCGATGCGAAAACGACGAAAAGAGCACAAAATGCATTCTATTCACTGATGGCGCCATACAGCAAGGCTTCACGTCACTTTTCCAGCTGACAAACCTTTCCAATCGTGTAATTAGGTGCGAGCGATATGCAAAACTGAACACTCATCAGGTTAGAGACTACATGGGTTGCCGAATCCCTGTTTTGCCATTTGCGAGCTGCCTGCCACATAAGATATGTTACTTTTACATAATCAGACATTGTAATTATTGCATCAACATAACGCCAAGAAAAAAACATCTAAATAGACATCTCAGCCCACTTGCATATTATCAGACACTGTGGCAGGCAATCCGAAACTATTCATAGCCAGGATCACCCCCAGCCCAAAGTGCGCTCTTGATCAGGCCTGTAGTCGGCCCAGCTGTTTCTTCGCTATCTTACCTAAGCACGCAGCAAGTGATCGGCCAATGATGCAATAATGTATAATAAGCATGTCTGCGTCACCCGCTTGTTGAGATTGCACTGTGAGATCTGTACTAGTGCTGTTCGCTTTCATTAATGGCGTTAGCAAAATTCAAAGGTGACATATGCATTTTAATGGGTACCATACTGTTTAAATACCAAATTTTAAAACTTTAAAAAGCAAACCTTCAATATCTTTAATTAGAGAGCTCATGAACAATAACCAGCAAACAATATTTATGATATGCCTACGTCATCCAGTACACTACAAACCTTAGTCTAAGTGATTCGGTGGTTGTAAACAATATAGGATTTAAGCGATCGCTAGTAGATTTGTTTTGATGCGTCCATTTCGATAATCACGCTCATTTCGTGCAGAAAGCTCAGGCAAGCCTAAGCTCCTGTGGAAACCTATCACAAGAGTTTACGTTTTGCAACTGTATTGGTGTATACTGATGAACATGGCCGGGTATAGCCAACCCAATGTGTGTCTCAGCCAGGGCACATTAGGTGGTGTTTTGGGTTAACAGGTTCCCATCGCAAGCCTTATCAATTAGCATATTAAAATCATAATGGTGCCTAGCCGCACAAAATTAACATTTGACACGGTTTGAAAGGCGAAGCCCTTCTAATTTCTGAGGTACATGCCTGTGAAAATGGGGAAAGGTATATCGGGGAAAGCATTTCCAGGTCTAAGTGGTATTCATGACGTCATAATGACGTCATTCAACTCCTGCCATTCCATAACCCATACGGTGATCAAGGCCGAAGAAAATATAAGCGTCGAGGTGTTCATATTTGGCGTTAGTGAACGCGATTTCCAGATATAAGGGCCGTCAATTGGCTCTCAATCAATGTTGCTCAAGGCACAATGATGTAATCAAACCATAACGCATTACGGAGCATATTCATTAAACAGAGAATTGTGATGCCTAGAACAATTTTTTCCACTTGATAAGCATACCAATAGTTACACGTGAGTTCGTTCTTTCAAATATAATGCTCGCTTGAACATCTTCGAATGTGAAACATCCCCTTTAACTGACATATGGGCATAACGTAGGCGTTATATAAAATAATACCCATGTTATTTTACTTCAATATCTTCAAATGCGAAACATCCCCTTAAACTCATATATGGGCAAAACACAGGTATTATCGTTCTGAGTTCGGGGATGGTCGCCGCTAATTTCAGCGTATGCAGAACCAGTGTTTCAGGAGTAGACATGCTGTATTGCAAATTCACATTACAAAGTCACCAGAACACTTATAATTATGGTGCCAATGTGCCGATTTTTTGGCGAATTTTGCTACAACCTAGACATATCAAGCGTAACATGCAATTGCAGTCTTGGGTTTTAAGGGAGGGGGTTCTGCGCTGAATTTTTAGGCGAAATTTGCCGCAGCCTTAAGATGTTTAACGCAACATGCATTTTGCAGTCTCGGGTGCTAAGGAAGTGTGTTTTTCTAGCCTTGTTTTTTCTTTAACTAGATAAACCAGTCAGCTTCTTTCGAGTCCTGCAACTTGTCAACCACAACTCTATTTAAATGATACAGGTGTGACTGAAATGTGGTAGCTTGGCCTGCAGAGCTGTCATCGCTGTTCCTTTTTCATGCTTGGCTTTCTTGAGCTCAAATGCGAAGCCTTTTTCTTAAGCCACGCCTTGGCATGGCCTATTTTGCCTCAGGGTCCGGTTTTCATACGCCGTACTCAAGTGTAAGTATAGCGTCTTGCCTGCGGTGTGAAAATATAGCATGATTGACGTCTAATTTATTATAATATTATTCATCGCAACCTCACCCATTGAACGCTCTAATTATGATATATTGGTTTTTAGAAATATACATGAACTTGATTGAACAGTACTTTATTGAGACATGAGTTGCCTTATATATGCATATATATATATATATATATATATGCAGTTTTTATATATATATATATATATATATATATATATATATATATATATGCAATATAATTACATTACACTACAATTACAATACAATTACAATACTATATATATATATATATATATATATATATATATATATATACATATATATGCAATATTATTACATCACACTACAATTACAATACAATATATATATATATATATATATATATATATATATATATTGTTTAAGATCTAGGATGTGTCGCTTATCCATTCTCAAAAGTAATCTATGGTTACTCAGTTTATGACGGCAAATGACACACTTAAAATCTGAGCGCAAAACACTAACAAATAACAAAAACTTGCCATTGCATTGGCCAGTACTATCCTGTCCCGAAAAAACAAATATTTCTTTATCAACACAGAACACATGAGCATTACACAACGTGTTTGCATATTCAACCTAGCAAATCACACTACTAAATTCTAATGACCCATTCCCGCGTGGTTTTGTCAGTGCCAAGCTCATCGTCTCCGTGATTTGTTTGCGATGCTGCCCCAGAGATGATGCAAAAGTTTGATTGATTTGCAAGCCTAGTGCTGGTGTGTAGTCATGGATGAGTAATTCTTTCAAGATGCTGAGTTTCTGGTCCAGATTCGGAATCGATTTCACTCGAGGGAAGAGAGCACAAGAATGCATGCACGCATTCCGAAAACCAGGACTCCTCGCCGTCAATCAGCTGAACAGTGGTGTCCGACATTTACAACTACATTCAGACCAGCGGGTGCGCTTCGGCAAAAAAGGACGACACAACTATGCGGGGTCGTGTGGCGTAACGCCACACACATGCCGTCCGCGTCCGCTACGTGTTATACATAATGTATAACATATATATATGTATATATATATATATATATATATATATATATATATATATATATAAAGTTTTCATCACTTCCAGGCATGTGTCCATGTACCCACTATGTCCAGCGGGTACATGAGGCACATCGCGCCGGCTGCTCGTGGGTCCTACTCATCCCGACAGGCAGGATTCCAAGAGGCCATCCTTCTCCCAAAATCGAAGCCAAGCAAAGCCATGGACATCGCGGCTTTTTATAGTGCCAAACGGCGTACTTCAGACCCGTTAGGTCGTCCCCGGTACGCCCATTACGTTCCATTCAAGTGCCCCGAGCGCATAAAACGTGCATTGGGTATTACGCTCTAAGCTGAGAGACCATCTAATGCTGCAATTCGGACTCGTGGTTTAGCCAACCGTGCTCAAAACAGTCTCAAAATAACCACCGCGGACTTGGCATGCCAATAACCGGGTCGGGCCATGCCTCCCACTGATTGAGTGTGTAAAGTGATCGGTAAGACCGCGATGCTAGGCTACCGGCATGCATCACGTCATCGCCAAGATCGCAGTCACATATGAATTTCGAGTAGTCAGCTGCATGAAGCGAAGACTTTTCACCACTTTCTGGCCGCACGGTGTATGCAGCGTGCGTTTGTATTTACAATCCACCATTTGTATACTACATTTGTGCATACAATCCGAGTTAGCGTTTGTATTTACAATCCACATTTCAAGCAATCGATAAACACCAGGAATCGGTGCGTTAGGTAATTTCCAGCCTACATACCCACACGGTAAGCACGGTTTGAAAGCCGCGTCGGTTGTACCTACTTTCGCTTCATGAAACAGGACGCTGGTGGGGCAGGCAGAATTCTGGCATGCTGATCAGTGGGAACTGGTGGGCAGAGGGGAAGGGGGAATACTTACGCAACAGTCCTGCTCGGGCACGTAGCAGAAATCGCCCGAGGCCGAGGTGGGCATCCAGAGATGTTCGCCAATGACGGCTGCCTCGCTCCAGTCACACGTGCTGCGCAGCGTGCGCCGGCCGCCCTCCGCCTCGATCTCGATCTCGCCGGTGGCCGCCTTTCTGCGGAGCACAGCGGGGGCCGCGGCGTCAGCGCCGCCGCTTCGCTGGGCCCCAACACGCCACGCGGCAGGCGGCGGCCGGGGAACGGACGGCAGCGCCGCCCTGGCCACCGGTCTGTCGTCGTCGCCGTCACATTTACGTCCGGGGGCCACCCGCGACACGTCACGGGCACGCGGCGGCATGGGCGTCGATGAGATGGGCGCCGACGTGAGGCACCGCAGCATTTCTGTGTGGGCACCCGGCCTTTGTCTTGTGCACATCACACATGCGCCGGGCTGTAACAGCTGGCACGGCTGCTCGCAGCTGCGCGAGCCGGGCGCGCCGGATAATGGACAACAAAAAGCCCCAATACACTATTCAGCGCAGGGGTAATATATTCAGCACGGCGCCGACGATGTCCCACGTCACGTGCCAATGTCGGACAATACAACGCTCACAGTACACACGAACAATTAATTATATAACTATCATTATATAATTGGGTACTGTTCATGAGGAAGTTGCGAAAATTAGCATTGGGGCATAATGCTCGCGAACAAACGAACTTAGCCAGGTCTGGAGCTGCGGAACAATTCATGGTAGTTGGGTACCAGGGTGGTTCGAGACCGAACTCGGTTGGCGTGCCGCACTCACACCAGTGACTCACACTCAGGACTACCAGTCAGTGACTATTAGTCAGGGGACATCAGAGTTGAACGTTACTTAACGCTGCTCGTCGACGAGTTCTGTCCAATGACTGTTCCACGGACGCTAGACCCCGCGGACAGACCCACGTGCAGTGGGAGCGGAGAAAATTGGATTCGACTCGCGGTCTCTTGAAATAGTTTTACTCACCTCACTGGTGAAAACTGCAGGAGCGTTCTCGCTGTTCCGTTTACGAGCTCTCGCAGAACAATTCCAATCCCTCGAGAACTCTGTTTCTCGACTAAACGGCCGGCACTATAAATAGACCCCGACATCCGGCAGTGTCATGCTCTGCTCCCAGAGCCATAGCGAACTCGCACGACATACTTGAACAAATTGCAACCAAAATGGCTCCGCTTCGCCTCACCCAGCCACAGGAAGTCTCTTTAACTAGCTGCCGGAGTGCACCTTGACACGGCCGGAAGCAATTCCGCCACAAGCGAGGACAGAATATGCTTCGTGTGGATCGTTGTGAAGTTCGGACGATATAGCAGTTAGAATCACATTGAGGAGATATAATGCAGGCATAAAGTGAATGCAAATGATGGTGACGGCTGGTCTGGGTTCAGATAGAATGTCACTAGGAGGTTTAGGTTGATGTCGTCACGAGCCATTTGCGAGAAACAGCCAAATAAGTGTGAATACCAGAACCGAGATTATTCGCGTGAGTTATGCAGACGCACACAGAAGCAGGAAAGGCATCTTGCCGCATGGAAGACATCAATAGCGTCATTTCTTCCAATGTCCAGTGAGCGAGGCCTCTGGACAGCGAGCACACCAGCATTCGTAGCATTTAAGGGGCGCGTCCCCAGATCGATAAAACCTTTCCCCGGTCGGGAGAAGCGGCAGACCGAATAGCCGCACGACTAGGCAGCTGAGCGCGGCCGTATCGTTAGGTCCGGAGCAGACGTGCAAGTCAGGTGTTGAATGAGAAACATTCCCGACGATAGCTTATCTGGCGGTGACACAGAGCGGAACTATGGGTCAGGGAATCGGGGATGGGATGGGCCTCGCTCGACACAACTGAACACCATCCCGATGGACTAAATACGTGGAAAGACAAGCAACGCGTCAAGGTCTCCTTTCCGCACCCTAGCCCTCAAACAGAAAAAATGCTGGATGACCTGATTTGCGTCTGATACAAGTCAATGCATCTAACTCCGCTGGCACCTATGGTCATCGCTTCATAGGGCTGCAGGCATCTCAATATTCTGAGACCAGCGGGGTGGTCCGCAATTTCAGTGCAGGCTACGACTACGGAAAACACGACCAACTTCAAGAACCTTCGAATAAAACTTCAATTGACTTTATTACATTGCCGCTTGACGTCTTGGAAGATTTGCACTTCCAACGGCGCGAATTACGTACTATGAAGGGGCGCTTTCCATTCTCAAGCTTGACAACGTTCATTGAAACCAAGTTATCTGCATTTTGTTAACCCCTGACATACAGGGGAGGCTTTCCTTTATGGCATGCCAAGATATAGCCAATCACCTCAACTAAATGCAATCGCACACATTCATATTGTTCAACAATATTTTTCACAGGCATATTCGTGGCGCAAAAGGACGACTGACTTAGATGCTGAGAAAAGAGGAAAGATGTAGACTAGTACTGTTGCTGCTATTTGGGGCTCGAGATCCCATTTAAATGCATCAGGGGCCCACTTCTCATGTTTTTGAAAGCTTCATGACTTTTAAACTGCTAAAAAGCACTTAAACCTTCGGCTCCAATAGGAACCTCCACCACCTCCTAGATGTTAGCTAAATTATTTAAAAGGATGCATTGTACGCGACGGGGTTTGACAAACTTTGAAGGCCTGTGGAAGAAGCGAGGAGGTAGCCTAAGCACATGACTACCATCAATTAAATGCCAACCAGGATGAATAGCCACAAAAAGCTTTGGAGCTTTCCGCCTACAACGAGGGACACGCAAGAGGTTCTTTCCGAAGCCCGTTGTTAAGAGACCAATGGACGTGTTAACTGATCTGTTAAAGGCATTACTTTCACGTGACACACCGCACGACAAAAGATGCTCCAACGAAGCTCGCAGATACCAACTAGTTCACCTGAGCCTGGACGCAGGTGTATTCCGAAGATTAGCAGCGTTGAGAGCAACGACGCCCGCGGCACAAGTTCACAGTCTCTCCATACGCGCAGCAAACTCGGCCCCACCCATCACCGCACCGGCGGGATTCCGCGCTGACCGCACAGCTCGTGCGAGCGCGTGCACAGCACACCTCCCGTGCGAAAGGTACACAACGCATACGTGGTGCGAGCGCGTGCGCAGCACACCTCCCGTGTGAAGGGAACATACCACACACGTGGTGCGAACGGGTGCGTAGCGCCCTTCCCCATGGGGAGGACACCCCACGCACAGGCGGAGTGGTCAATGACCAACTACGCCTTCTTTGTCCGGCACCAGCAAGCGACGGCGCGGCCGGCTCGGGCGAACGCGCCCGCGCCCCCGAAACCTGCTTCACCGCTCGCATCGCCCCAGTCGCGTCAAGCGAGCAGTGGCAGCCACTCCCTCGCGGGCACGGGCCGCCGGCGGCCGCGGCGTTCCACGTACTTCGCTCGGCCGGCGCTCTGCTGCCTGGTGTCGCCTCCGCCGGCACCTGTTCCCGCTGGCGGTCCGGGCGGCGGCAGCGAGCGCAGACCGCACTCCGGCCAGCAGCGGACGCTCAGCAGCTGTACAGCGACCGTGTCCGACGGCGGCCAGCACAGCACCCGGCTCAGCCAGCACAGCACCGCCCTGAGCCAGCGGCACACCAGCACCAGCACGGACCAGCCGCCGAACAGCATGCGCGGTGCCGCGGACGCTGCCGCCTCGGCCGCGGCGCCGGCCGCACCGCAAATGTCGCGACCGGGCGGCCGGCGCCGCGGGACGGCAGCGGATGCCTATCAGTGCCGGACGTCGCGCGAGCTTGACCGGACGCGCGCCGCTCTGTTGACACCACCGCGTCAGCCCACACCGCCGGCGGCCGGCGGCAGCGGCGTCACAGTCGACACATTGCGCTCCGCCGGCGGCCGGCGCCCCACGACAGGGAGGGCAGCAGGTGACAGGCGGCACAACGTGTCCCGTGAGGACTGACAGCCGGCTCCAAGCGGCTCAGGGGCCCAGTACTGGCCGGCACACGTGCCCACGGGAGTCCGCTGGCGCCTGACACCAGCTGCCCCGAGCAACTGGGCTGCAGGCGACAGGACCGAGCGGTGGCGAGGCCCGGGTCGCAGACCGTGGTCGCGAGGCCCGGGTCACCGACCGCCAGTGACCTGCAGATAGAGCACGCGCCGACAGAGCGGGATAGGCGGAGCGTGGCCGGCCGCGTGCGCGGGCGCAAAGGAGACCCAGATCCTGCCCAGGGCCGCTCGTACATTTCGGTCTCCTCTTTTTAGAGCCTCCGAAGATCCCCTTTTTGCAGGATTCCAACCACCGTTTTGGGCCTGCGCAGTGGCCCTGTGCTCCGACCTCTCGCTTGGGGAACTCCCAGTGGCACTGACAGCCGGCACTCCGACTCAAAGATCGTACCATCGGGCCGCACATTTAAGCGGAATCTTTCTTTTTCCTCTTTCTGGCTTAATTTTCAAGTAGAAGTCGCGTTCTTTTAAGCACAGAGTGCACTCCTTTCAGACCACAGCTTTCAGAGCACATCTCGATAAATCAAATCAAACCTTCCAGACCACACCTTCTACCCCAGCCCTTCACCTGTCGCACCTTTCAGACCACACCTTAATATGTCATACATTTCAGGTCACACCTTAACCTGTCACACGTTTCACACCACACCTCCACCTATCACTCTTTTCAGACCACACCCTCACATGCCACACTTCTAAGACCACACTTTCACCCGCCACCCTTCAGACAACACCTGCGCGCCCCACCCGTTCGGGATACCGCCCGGACCACCCAACCCATCCTGCCGTTAAGGCCCCCCTCCTCGCCGAACCGCCCTGAGTTAACACATCACGGACCGGGGCTCCTACGAAGCTGAGCGGACGCGACCGCTCCCTGCCGCGGAGATGTCACCGCACCGGGACGGACACGGAGAGCGGGGCGGCGACAGCGGCCCAGCGCAATTACCGCACCGGGACGGACACGGAGAGCGGGGCGGCGACAGCGGTGCAGCGCAATTACCGCACCGGGACGGACGCGGAGAGCGGGGCGGCGACAGCGGCGCAGCGCAGTTATCGCACCGGGACGGACGCGGAGCGGGGCGGCGACAGCGGCCCAGCGCAATTACCGCACCGGGACGGACACGGAGAGCGGGGCGGCGACAGCGGTGCAGCGCAGTTATCGCACCGGGACGGACGCGGAGAGCGGGGCGGCGACAGCGGTGCAGCGCAATTACCGCACCGGGACGGACGCGGAGAGCGGGGCGGCGACAGCGGCGCGGTGCAGTTACCGCACCGGGGCGGACGCGGAGAGCGGGGCGGCGACAGCGGCGCGGCGCAGTTACCGCACCGGGGCGGACGCGGAGAGCGGGGCGGCGACAGCGGCGCGGTGCAGTTACCGCACCGGGGCGGACGCGGAGAGCGGGGCGGCGACAGCGGCGCGGTGCAGTTACCGCACCGGGGCGGACGCGGAGAGCGGGGCGGCGACAGCGGCGCGGTGCAGTTACCGCACCGGGACGGACGCGGAGAGCGGGGCGGCGACAGCGGCCCAGCGCAGTTACCGCACCGACAGGATCAAAGCGCGGGCGGAACGGGCCCCGACAGGCTCCGTCCAGTCAACGGGAGGACAGCGCTGTCGCTCGCCGGTGCTGAGACATCAAAGGCTGCTACGGCGGCCGGGGGTGGGCCCGTCCTGACGACGGCCGGCGCCGATAGCACGACGGCGGAGACGCGCCAGATTGTTGAGGTCTGACAGAAAGCTCCGATGTGCACATGCTCTGTGACAACCTTTGGAACGGAGGGAGTGCAATGAGATCGAACCAAGAACTAGCATCCAGACGCTCCGTTCAAGCACAAAAATTCCGCTGTCCCAGCACGAGGACATGGGGACGAACGGTTGAAAACATGAAAGGCCTGTGGCTGATAATATCTTCTCTGCCTCACAAGGCTTACTTGTGTGCCGGCTTCCAGACGGGCCAGCTATAATATGAATGCAGGATATAAGAGATGTTTGATATGTGAGAGGCCTCCTCTGAGTAAAATAAGTGTCAAAACGTGTCCGTCGGCAAGTCTGAATCTCAAAACAGGAGGGAGAAGGACGCTCAGCACAACACCTCACATGCTCGGCTACGGCCGAAAGCTTCAAACGCTACGAACCGTCGTCGGAGAGTGCTCTCACGCCAGCAGCAGCTCATTCAACCAGGAGACATTCCACGCACCCAGCAGACAACCTTTCACGCGCCGACACCGCAGCACCTGCCGCAGCGGCAGCGAGGGCGCCACCAGCAGCCCTGTTTATCTCCGCGAGCGTGCTCCACTCCCGAATTAAGCCCGTTCCGCTGCGGCGGCGTACCGGGCACGGCGGCCCTCGAGCCGCCGCCGCGGGCCTGGCCTCGTTACCGCACCTGCTCGCTGCCTGCGGCGGCTAATTGTCTGCAGCCGCCGGGTCACGGAGGCGGTTGATTGTGTCATTAGGTGGCGGTCCGGCCGGGGCGAACGGCGGCACAATCCCGTCGCTGACGAGGGTGGCGCGTCGCAGGACCCCACTGTCGCTGCAGCGGCCGGTTAGCGAGACGGAATAGCGCCGCTGACTCGTAGTCGGCACATAAAGGGACCGCCCTGCCACTCAGCCTCGACAGCAGTCGGTTAACACCGCCAAGCTGACGGGCTGACAGGGCACGATCGTCCTGCCACTCCGGGTACAGCGCCACCGCCCCGCCACTCCGGGTACAGCGCAACCGCCCCGCCACTCCGGATACAGCGCCACCATCCTGCCACTCCGGGTACAGCGCCACCGTCCCGCCACTCCGGGTACAGCGCCACCGCCCCGCCACTCCGGGCACAGCGCACCGTCCCGCCACTCCGGGTACAGTGCCACCGCACCGCCACTCCGGG